GAGGACCGTCTCATGTCGTCGTCGTCTATAAATTCTGTTTGGAGGTTGAAGTCGGCTTCCTCAGTCTGGGTTTCGGGCTGGTTGTAAAAGAAGCTGAATATTTTGGCTGAGTCCCTGTCCGAGAAAGTCGCGTCATTGTCATAGTTAGTTTTCAGGGACTTGGATAGTATACTGCCGAACCTCTAGCCAGATAATATCAGCTGAGATTTATACTTCCACTTCATTTGGTGCACTAAACAGTTAACTAATCAGATCTCAGTCCCATGACTGGCTCGTGAAGTGCTGCTGCTGGGTGGTCGGCATACAATTCCTAAGCAGGATCTAATTATTAAGTAGAAAATTATCGTATGATTCTAAATACAAAATGAATATACTCTACAAAACATACATTGCATTTATTAACTTTGACACTCAATGGATTAGGTATTTTACTAGCACACAAAGAGTGATATATATAGAGTGACGCGGCGCGTTGCTAGAAGCTTGCTTGAAAATTAGCGCTACCGTATACGCTTTAGAGTTATCGTTAATTATAGAATATAATAATTTGTTATTAACAGAGCTTAAACTATTACCAACATTATCAGATATTATAAATATTAAGACTTGCCATGATTAACTGATTAAAACGCTGATTACATTTACTTTTATTTTAGTCAATTTTACGTAGACCATCAGCCGGGGTTCACAGGTGACGTACCTAATTAAAGTATTAAAATATGTAAAAATACTGTTTCATTCTAATAATGCTCTTGAATAATTAAAGTTGACTGTTATTAATGCAACGTACTTCCACCCACAGAGTTCATGTAGGCCTTAACTATGTTTTCCAGCTGTGTCTAGAACTGATCTCGTCTTAATTCTAAGTTCTTAGTTGTGAGTTATAGTCTAGAATCCAAGCAGAACCGGCTATATAGAAGAAAAAATAAACAGATCAAGTCAAGAAGCAGCAGAAAAAATCGTGCTTTTGAAGCAAAATCTGGAGGGAATTTCGTCTTCAAAATGACAGCTTTGTCCTCGTCTTGGTTTCCCCAGCTGCTGCTGCTGCTGGCAACCGCACGCAGTGGCGCCCCAGCCTCCATCCTGGTAGGTGGTGTGCATGTCGCTCTGATGAAGATGTTCTACTATGAAGCTGTTCTATGATGAGGCTGTTATATGATGAGGCTGTTATATGATGAAGCTGTTCTATGATGAAGCTGTTCTATGATGAAGCTGTTCTACGATAAAGCTATTATATGATGAAGCTGTTCTATAATGAAGCTATTATATGATGAAGCTGTTCTATAATAAAGCTGCTCTATGATGAAGCTGTTCTATAATGAAGCTATATTATATGATGAAGCTGTTCTATGATGAAGCTGTTCTATGATGAAGCTATTATATGATGATGCTGTTCTATAATGAAGCTGTTCTATGATGAAGCTATTATATGATGAAGCTATTATATGATGAAGCTGTTCTATGATGAGGCTGTTCTATGATGAAGCTGTTCTATAATGAAGCTATTATATGATGAAGCTGTTCTATAATGAAGCTGTTCTATGATGAAGCTATTATATGATGAAGCTATTATATGATGAAGCTGTTCTATGATGAGGCTGTTCTATGATGAAGCTGTTCTATAATGAAGCTATTATATGATGAAGCTGTTCTATAATGAAGCTGTTCTATGATGAAGCTATTATATGATGAAGCTATTATATGATGAAGCTGTTCTATGATGA